AGACTTGTCTAGATCAAAATTTCACTCAAAAGGGAAAAGGTCTATTGCTTCATCTATATTATATATATTAAGTAATGGTATGGTTTTTTGTCCAATTTGGAAAAACAAATACTCGTGAGTTTTCAGAGACATCAAATTCCACTCGTCCTTTGGTCTCGTGCAATTTTGATCGTCATGCACTCGTGCATATTTTTTTCGAAATTGCACTCGAAACCATACTATTACCTACATAAACAATGCATTGGTGTTTTCGAAAGTAAAACAACCAGAACATGTAATCGAATGAGCACAAAATGAGTATTTTGTGTGTTCATCTCTCTACAGGATCGACCAGCTCAAGCCATCTATCAACCTCGTTCACGACCGCGTGCCAATGCTGAGGAAACCACAGGAAGAAATTCAGGTACAGTATGTTTAAAATTAAAGCTGTTCTGAGTGGTTATATTACTACCTTAAAAAACAAGCAGAAACTCGACGTTTCGAGCGAAGGCCCTTCGTCAAGAGTTATAGTAGTAGCAGGGATCGGGGAAAAATGCACGGGCTTTTATACTAAGAGTATAAAAGCATCACGTGACAAAAAAAAACCCAATTAGATGGATTTAATCATAACAAAGTGTAAACAAAATATGTAAATCGCATTACAGAATATAATATAATTAAAAATATACAGGAAGCTACTAATTACTACAAAAAATAATAATGAAAACAAACACGAGTGGGAATAAGGTAAAAGTAATAAATAGATGTTGTCAATGTCTGCTATAGACAGGCAAGGGGACAGATGGCATCATAGACAATCCAGAAGACATGTCTTCTGGATTGTCTATGATGACATTAAAGATAAGAAAAGCGTTCATTAATACCAGAAGGGTGAACAGTGCCAAGTTTGGATATGAGGCGCATTTCATGTCGTTTGCGGCTATCGTTGCTTCCAGAAATGGGACAGAGGGCTCGAATTACCATATCTGAAACACTGTGATTGCCATTATTGAAATGTCTGGCAACAGGTTGGTTAGCATCATTGCCAATAACTGCACGCCGATGCTCACCAAACCTTGTTCTTAAACATCTTCCAGTTTCCCCAATGTAAAGCATGCCACATCTGCTGCAGGAGATGCAGTAGATGAGATGGGAGGAGGCGCACGTGAAATGGTGCTTGATGTGAAATTCAGATTTAGGTGCCGAAACAATAGTGGTAGAATCTACAAAATCACAGGTTTTACATTTCGACGACAGGCAAGGAAAAGTGCCTTTCTGTGACGTCGAAGCCTGTGCTAGGGAGCTATGGACAAGGGTTTCACGGATATTTTTGCTGTGTCGAAAAGAGACTAAGGGGTTATCGGAGAAAATGGAAGTGTTTCAGGGTCGTTTTTCAAAATATGAAAATTCTTGTTGATGACATCTCTAACTTTGAAATTGAAAGGATGACAGTTTAATACTAGGGGGATTTTGTTGTTGCCTGTGACATTAGACACAGGGTCTGCGAGGGTGTCAGAACGGGGAATTTGGGAGGCCTTCGAAAAGGCAGTGTCTAATAGAGAGGTAGGATAACCACGTTGGACAAAAAAGTGTCTCATCTCCAGACGTTTGGCCTGAAAATCTTCGTCTTCACTGCAGATGCGGCGAAGACGAAGGAACTGAGAGAAGGGAATCGACCTTTTGGTGTGGTTGGGGTGGGAAGAGGAAAATAGAAGATAGCTATGGGAGTCAGTGGGCTTGTAGAACACAGAAGTAGATAGTTTGTTACTATTGATTGATACAAAGATATCTAAGATTATTATATATCAATAGTCAAGGTCGCATTTTTCTAGTGTTTTATTGGTTGAGAGCATATCACGTGAGAGTGACGAAATTAGGCTGTCTCCCTCGCAACAGCGCGAGAGGGAGATAATACGTTATCGACCGGCGAATAACAAAAAAATCACGTGCGCCATCACGTGAAGATGCGACCTTTGGACATACCTAGTACGTAATTAAAACTTTCGCTTTAAGTAACTGCAGTGTAGCGTAATTTAATATGACGTTTTAACAATAAAATATTTCATGCATTTACGTTCATTTGTTCTTTAATTTGTTGTTTCTTTGACTATTGATATATAATAAAACACTTATTTACTGAGACCTCGGGAAAGCAATGTGTTTTGTGGACCCTCGACCGTCAATGTTTCCCTCGGCTTCGCCTCGGGAAACATCGACGGTCTCGGGTCCACAAAACACACTGTTTCCCTCGGTCTCAGTAAATAAGTGATAAATGATACACTGGTCTCACTGATCTCCCATGTGAACTGGAGTGCCGGATGGAAATTATTAACAAAGTTAATAAAGCGTTCCAATTTGACACGAGAACATGATGCTATGCCAAGACAGTCATCTATGTACCTACCAAGGTAATCAGGGATGGGATCAGTATACTGTTCAAAGATTTGTTTTTCCACAAAACCAACAAACAAATTAGCATAGTTGGGTCCCATTTTAGTTCCCATGCCTACATCATTTATCTGTTGGTAATGCTTACCATCAAAGGAAAAGTTGTTGAGGGTAAGCACCAACTCAGCCAATCGGACCAAAACAGAAGTGGCCGGTTCCTGGTTAGGGCGTTTATCTAGAAAGAATTTGAGGGCCCTTAAACCATCATGATGCGGAATTACTGTGTATAAGGAATTAACGTCCATTGTGAAAATGAATTTGTGAGTGCCATGAAAATGAATGTTCTGGAGAATTTGGACAGCATGCTTGGTATCCTTGATATAGGATGGTAAGTCCTTAACCAAGGGTGCCATGACACGATCGAGAAAACTGGAGATGAGTTCGGTGGGACAACCCCTGAAACATCTTCCATTTTCTCCAATAACCCCTTAGTCTCTTTTCGACACAGCAAAAATATCCGTGAAACCCTTGTCCATAGCTCCCTAGCACAGGCTTCGACGTCACAGAAAGGCACTTTTCCTTGCCTGTCGTCGAAATGTAAAACCTGTGATTTTGTAGATTCTACCACTATTGTTTCGGCACCTAAATCTGAATTTCACATCAAGCACCATTTCACGTGCGCCTCCTCCCATCTCATCTACTGCATCTCCTGCAGCAGATGTGGCATGCTTTACATTGGGGAAACTGGAAGATGTTTAAGGACAAGGTTTGGTGAGCATCGGCGTGCAGTTATTGGCAATGATGCTAACCAACCTGTTGCCAGACATTTCAATAATGGCAATCACAGTGTTTCAGATATGGTAATTCGAGCCCTCTGTCCCATTTCTGTAAGCAACGATAGCCGCAAACGACATGAAATGCGCCTCATATCCAAACTTGGCACTGTTCACCCTTCTGGTATTAATGAACGCTTTTCTTATGTTTAATGCCATCATAGACAATCCAGGAGACATGTCTTCTGGATTGTCTATGATGCCATCTGTCCTTGCCTGTCTATAGCAGACATTGACAACATCTATTTATTACTTTTACCTTATTCCCACTCGTGTTTGTTTTGATTATTATTTTTTGTAGTAATTGTCTTAGCTTCCTGTATATTTTTAATTATATTATATTCTGTAATGCGATTTACATATTTTGTTTACACTTTGTTATGATTAAATCAATCTAATTGGTTTATTTTTTGTGCATTTTTCCCCGATCCCTGCTACTAACTCTTGACGAAGGGCCTTCGCTCGAAACGTCGAGTTTCTGCTTGTTTTTTAAGGTAGTAATATAACCACTCAGCACAGCATTTTCACATTAGTACTACCTACACTGCATGGTACAGACAGTTTTAGTGTTTAAAATTAAACCCGTTTTGATCATGTTATATAGTATAGTATAGTTATATATATATATGTTATATATACAACCCCATTAGCACGCCACGCCTTTCGCGAGAAGAGTCTCCTGAGTTTTTAGAAGTAACTGAGATGGAAGTACAAAAGGTTCTGGCCAAACGCAACCCCTACAAAGCATCAGGACCAGACGCAATACCTAAAGGCTCGTTTACACTTGCAAATTTTGCTGCGATTTTAGGTGCGATTTTCTTCTTCTGCTTGATGTGAACGAGTAGATAAGTCAATTTAGTCATGAATGTTCACATTGCTGTACATGTACTCCGAACATTCGCGACTCCTCTACTCGTTCACATGCATCAGAAGGAGAAAATCGCATTAGAAATCGCAGCAAAAATTGCAAGTGTAAACAGGCCTTAACTGGTTGCTTAGAGAATATTCCATTCATAATGGCTTTACCAGTTACCCAGATTTTAAATGCTTCATATTCTGAGCAATGTCTACCCGTAGCTTGGAAGATGGCAGACGTGTCAGCAATACCAAAAATTAAACCAGTACGGAATCCTAAGAAAGATTTAAGACCTATCTCGTTAACGCCATCTGTTTCTAAAGTCGCGGAAGAACTATTGGTTGAGAAATACATTAAACCAGCTATTTTAAAGGTACTTGATATTAATCAATATGGAGCCATCCCAAAATCCTCCACAACAATGGCAATAATTGACATGTTACATACTTGTTGCCTAGCTACTGATGGAAATGGATCAACAATTAGAACTATAATATTCGACTATCGATACTTATTGACCATGGTATACTTATTGGCAAATTATGCGACCTAGATCTCCCAAATAGTGTGATAAACTGGATTATTGACTTTTAACTGATCGATTCCAAAGAATCAAGCTGGTAAATAATTGTTACTCTGAATGGGGCATGGTTCCTTCTGGAGTTCCACAAGGAACGAAGTTGGGGCCATGGCTCTTCATCCTGATGATAAACGACTTAGATATTGAAAATCACGGAATCTGGAAATATGTTGATGACACGACAACGTCAGAGATTGTTCATAAAGATGCAGCCAGTAACGCTCAGAATATAGCAAATATAGTTATGTCCTGGTTTTCCGAGAATAGAGTTCAATTGAACCATGGATAATAAAATAAATGGATAGGAAACTAGCTGACGTTATCTAATGTTTTCAATGGGCTGATGGCGTGGTTGGATGTTGAAACCTAGTTGCAAACCAAATTCTCAAAAACGGCATGTTTAGCAATAATACAGCTAAACATTTTAGTCAAAGAGCAAATAAATATGACTACGCCATTCTACGATGAAGCTCTAAGTATTCCCAGTCAATTTTAGCAAATATTTCAAGCACTAAACAGTGAAAAAAGCATCGCAAATTTCGTTAAAATTGGGGACGCCAATTTTGTAGCTACAAATGTAAAAAAATACAAAACAAAGACGAAAAACCTTTACCTTGAATACTTTGTCGTGGCTTAGGCATGTTTTTTAAAAAAATTAGACCAGTTTATGCTTCAATATTACTCTTTTAAAGCGGAAAGTATAGCGAAACAACAAAAATGCCGAGAACTTTGCAATACGCGTGACGTCACAGATTGCAACTAGGTTGTTTTTGCTTACGTCAGCTAGAGTCCTATCCATTTATTTTATTATCCATGATTGAATCCAGACAAATGTAAAGAATTGAGAATCTCTTTCTCTAATCAACCCCGTGCCTTTGATCCTGTAGTGGTCGATGGTAAGGAATTAGATGTAGTTGATACCGTCGAACTTTTGGGAGTTACTCTTACAAACCAACTAACCTGGAATCCCCATATTGAAAAGGTCATAAAGAAAGCTAGCAAAAGACTATATTTTCTAGTCCAACTAAAGCGAGCAAAGCTACCTATTGAAGACTTAGTGCTGTTTTATATAACTTGTATCAGATCTGTAATTGATTATGCAATACCTGCATTCTATTGTTCTCTCCCACAGTACCTAAAATCCTGCATCATCACCCCAGGACAGGATTACCAAACAGCTACGAAAATTTTGAATGTAAAACCGTTGCAAGATCACCACGAACACCTGTGTGAAAAACTCTTTATAGCAGCTATCTCGGATCCAACTCATAAGATTGGCAAACTGTTACCAACAAGAAATGAAGCGAACTATGATTTAAGAAATAAACGAACGTTTAACGTTCCCCGGGTTCGTACTAATAGATTGAAGAATACTTTTATTTTAGCAAAGTGCAACTCACAAAACTATAATATTCCAAATACTAACTGATAATTTTTAATGATAATTTTCATATTAATTAAATAATGGTTATTTAGTAACTTTGAAACCACTTGTAATATAGTTATATAATTTTTAGAATCAAACATGTAAATAATTACGTAATTCAGCCTTATGGCTGCGAAGTAATTTTAATAAATCTATCACTATCTATATAGTTAAATATTAACATCTGAAATTAAGGGTGGAACGAACACGGTGTTTTTATATCGTAAGAGACGACATAGAGACAGTATAGCGAACAATTATAGCACTGAAATACATTCAAACAATAAGGATTACATTGATGTAAAGTTTTAATTAAATCAAGAGGGTATTACAGATCATGTACTGTTTTGTTGAAATAATTTGTTTGAAACAGATTCAACTATAGGGAATGATAAACTTGATATTCCTCATCCCGTACAAATGTACAATCGTACATACACTAGTCGAAATTGATCGTTTACTTGGCTGATTACTTTCCTGATTTACAGGGATTGCTCCAAGCGCAAATTGTCTTGACTTGCTTTATTTTTGTTCTTGTAGAGACTACATTGTTTTTATTTCTGGCTACTCAATTTTGCTTCACCCTCTGCCTTGGTCTGAATACGTAATTAATTGTGCGTAGCGTATACGAAGCCCACGAATAGGAATTTTAGTTAAATTTTCGTAAAACAGATTGCATATTGTCTTCATTGCCTACATGCATTTCCTCCATGCAACTTAAAGCGCGTTTACACTCTACAAGCTTAGCCTTAGGCCTGGCATTGGCCTAATTTTGCGTATGGCGATTGGTTGATAAAACTTGACTGAACTCTATATATGAAAGGCCCTCTCCAGCTTAAAAGGTGAAGCTAAACATGGCGAATTTTGAAGGCGTTAGTTTCAATCCCCCCGACTCGCGCGGTCAACTAAACTTGTATATATTTTCCTCAAAGTTCCCCTATCCGGCTATCCTCGAGTAAAAATAGAAGAAATTTAAATCAAAAGTTGAACGCTGGTGTTTTGTTAGAGTTAATTTGACTGGGAAGAAAACAAATAGCGCCTGGTTGTTGTTTTTACAAGTGAGAGAATCAACACTGAGTTGATAAACAAAACACAAATGTTACTCGGTCTATTTTTAAACACCTCGACAAAGGTTTCGCTCTTGCATATAAACAAGTCCGATTAAAACAAACAATTTAAGTTAACAAAGTCATTTAATTAAATATGAAAATAAAAAAATTTTCCAGTTTATACTATACGCTGAATTTGTGAGAAGCGGCAGAACATTTTTTTTTTGGGGGGGGGGGGCTAAACCCCCGTTGTAAAACGAGGAAAATATAGCCCTGTGAAGTTCGCAAATTTTGTATATACTGTATTTGCATTACGCGGTGGAAAAATAACCATTTTTAAGCCGAAAGTGGTCATTTTGCCGCGCGTAATACAAATATATCCAAAATTTGCGAACTTCAGAGCTATATTTTCTTCATTTTACAACGCTCCTTCTAGCTGTGGTGTTGGATTTTGTTGTTCTTGCCTTGATCAATGCCCATTTCCTAAATAACCAAAGGCCAACAAAGATATATATTCAGGGTGAAAGAAAATCAATTTACATTCACTTGATCACAAAGTAGGATATTTTCTTTTGCATTTTAGCCGGCGAGCAGCAATTTGACATTTTGACGACTTCGTAGTTTGTATAAATGGTCTCGCATTCTTCATGTTGTATTTTTTTCTCTTTTTGGGGGGGAGGGGGGGGGGTGCTAAGCTCCACACTGTTTTACTTCTGTGGTGGGGGCTAAAGCCTCCCCCCCTGTTCCGCCACCACTGATTTTCCGCCATGAAAATTTTTAAATATTTGGCCGCGCGGGTATGGGGGACTGAAAGTGACGTCTATGAATGCCTTCAAATTCCGCCATGTTTGGCTTTACTTTTTGATTGACTGAAGTCAGCCCTCCGTGTAAACTAGTCAGCCAATTTAGTAAAGAAATATCGTGCATGGCCAAGGCTAACTCGTGAAATATCGTGCAAGGTTCAGTCGGTCACGAGATTTGATTTTGATTTAAAAAAATAAAAGCTTCGGAAACGGATATCGTGTAGCACACGCGAATGAAAACAGCCGCGCGCGGGGAGCCGAGGCACGTGGAGGTGGGAGACCAGTCCGTGGCCAAGGCCAGGCCTAAGTTTGTGGTTTGAACATGGCTTAACACTAACCAATACACTGATACAGTTTAAATTCTCAATTTCAATTCCCAGGTCGTCAAGCGGGGAAGGAACAAGGAAGAGTTTATCGGGATAATCCGGGAAGAGATCGGGAAAACTGTCAACGAGGTAGGGATAACTCGACACGGGATCGAGATTATCGCGACAGCAATCGACGACAAAACCGAGACACCCAAAAGATGCGAGAAAAATCGGATGACACCAGCAAGGAGTAATGGCTTTCTTTGTGGAATGTTAAATTTACTTTGCATCGTTTATTCTGGTATTGATACTTCATAATTATGTAGCATTTGAATTATTCCCATGTGGCTGCTTGCTTAATATATAACTTTTACATTCATACAAAACCTTTTTGCATGTATCATGAATGGAATATTACGTTTATAGTCTCCATTGTTTAACGTAATTTTATTTAATTTCACAACAATAGAAATGTTATAAAAGATCTGATTAGCTGACACATGCGCAATCCGTGCGGAAACCAATCTTTTTTTTGTCCAAAGGCAAAGCGGTTTTTGAGTATTCCATCGGTCTGGCGCACTGATCTGTATCAGTGGTCTGGCGGTGTCTGTGGAGTACTAATGCTCCAACAAATGATTAATTTCATGTTGAATCATTGACTTATGGAAAGGCAAAATAGCCGAGAAAAAAGCTTACACAGATATGTCATTTTAGTTCATTTCTTTAAAAAATGGCTACGAAAACTATTAGTAAATATATTACACAAATTTGATTAAAAAGGGGGAGTGGCATTTCCGCTCTCTCGCCGCCGCCCGCCGCCGCCCCGCGCTCTCACGCCGTTCCAGGTGCGAAGTTAACCTTGAAATTATTTCATATAAAATAACTTGCTATTTTTTATCTTAGGCTGCATTCAGTTACGCGTTTTTGCATCTACTTTGATTTTCAATCAGTGAAGCATTTTCCAGAGACGTACGTCGTCGTAAACAGACCAATCTCGTTCCCCGAGCATGCCCATTCGCAGGTTAAGGGTGGGCATAGCTCTGGAGAAATCGAATTGATTCACGTTGAATTTCCAACGTGAGTTCTACGCATGCTCGGCAATGTTGCAAAATATAAATAAAGTATTTAGAATTTCGCGTCGAAAATTTGATACATTTTACACTGAAATCGAATTGAAAACAACTAAAAATTCTGGGGGAAATTATGTACGAAAGGTTCGGTTGGATAGGGATACAGCTACCTGAAAAATACAAGGAGAACTTTGACGTTTCGAGCGAAGGCGCTTCGATCTTTACTGTTAGTGTTTGTATACATCGTACTTGACCTTTGCTGATAAATATAATCTCCTCAATAATAAGTATTATATATTTTTATGCTTTAAAATTTACATTTAATTCTTCTGTCAGAATTTCGTGGGTAGAATGTCGTGGGTCGTGGGTAGAATGTCGTGGGTCGTGGGTAAAAAGTCGTGGGTCGTGGGTAAAAAGTCGTAAGTCGTGGGTAAAAAGGCGTGGGTCGTGGGTAAAAAGGCGTGGGTCGTGGGTAAAAAGGTGCGGGTCGTGGGTAAAAAGGCGTGGGTCGTGGGTAAAAAGGCGTGGGTCGTGGGTAAAAAGGCGTGGGTCGTGGGTAAAAAGGCGTGGGTCGTGGGTAAAAAGGCGTGGGTCGTGGGTAAAAAGGCGTGGGTCGTGGGTAAAAAGGCGTGGGTCGTGGGTAAAAAGGCGTGGGTCGTGGGTAAAAAATCGTGGGTCCCGAATAAAAAGTCGTGAATTCCAAGCAAAATATTTCCATATATTTACCTTTCTCACTTTGGGAATGGTATTTTTTTTTTGTTCTGAGGCTTTCCCAAACTATGCCCAAATATGCATAGCTTAGAGCGCGTTAAGGCCGGGTTTTTGATATCGGCAGATCGGTTTATAAATATTATAACCAAGTGTGGATGAAACAGTTCAACTTCACGCCCCATATAGTTCAAATATTTGGACGTTATAATCTTATAGACAGATAAATTAGTTACTGCAATTCTTCAATAAGAATATGGCTCAAGGCGACATGTACGAAAGCTGAGTAGCACTATCCACTCGATATTATAGTCAAATTTTTATAACCGGCAATGGCATCATATGTTTTCAAAGCTATATATGGAACTGCGGAGTATAGCTAACCATTTAATTAATGAAGTAATATGACATTTGACTTATATATGGTCTTCATGTATATACTATACAAAGAATTCGAAGATCGCCGGTCTGCAAAATAGTGATGCATCGATATCCATATCGGTAATTTTGTTGTTGATATTACCGACATCGTCGTAAACATTACAAGAAAATATATCTCTAGACCAACCAAAGTTGCTGTCGAAATTTGAAGCCCGCAAGTACCATTTCCTGCATTCTGAGCATCGAAATTAGATTTAAAATTTGTAGAAAAGTGGCTGTTTTTCACACCAAAATAAGAAAAAAACGCACAAAAGTTACCGATTTATTCATCAACATACCACTTCGAACAACAGATTATCTTGAAAAAGTAAGATAACAGTAGTTCGAAAGTTTTCAAATGTACATCATCTTGAAACAGCGGCCCAACGACAGTTAGGGACAATGTTTATCTGGCTAAGCAGCAGCATATATATAGATCATCCAGAAACAGCAGGACAACTTATAGCAGTCAGGAAACTGAAATATTTTCTGTACTGTATATAGATTATCTCCAAGTTATAGGAAAAATGTTTATTTGTAGATCATCTTGAAACAGCATCACAACGGCAATTAGGAAAAATGTTTATTTGTATATGTTTATTTGTACTAAAATTCGAGCAATAATGCAGGAATTCGCGCACAGCTGGGTGCGCAAATTTTAGTACTGCGGGAAATATAATCCACGCGAAAAGCTTTGCGGTGTAATATTCACTCGTTGTTAGTAAATAATATAATGTAAGGCAATACCATATATGAACCTATAATATATGGGATGCTAATAAAATTAGTTATTGTTATTGTATTAGCCATTAGGCAAATGAAAACCATACATTTTGAAGTTTGAACTTTATACGCTTTAAGCCTGGTTCACATATATGCCTGCGACGTACCGGCGACGATGCCGATGGTAGCTTTAAAACGTAAATTATGTGAACATTTGTTCGCCGATTGCCTCCAGTGCCACAGTTACATCGGCGGTAGGCCGGGAAAGTTGACTTGAGACTTGAGTTCAACTTTGCCGGTATTTCGGCGGCAAGTAGAGGCATAATGATACAGTCGCAAGCATGCCGCAGGCATATGTGAACCAGGCTTTACTGTTATCATGAATTTTGTTTTGACAAATATTGAAGTATTTGTTGTTATAGTTCTATTAATCAAACCAAAAGGAACCAACACGGAAAATTACTTGCGCGAATTTAAAGCTGCGCGAACAAGTTTCGCCGCGAAATTGGAATGCGCGAATTTAAAGCTGAACGAAAATGAGTATACGACGCGAATTTTAATACAAGTAAGATATACAATACATGGATTTGAAACATCTAACCATATATTTATGATACGTTATCCCGGGAAGCAGGCTCAGCTGTTGTAATTCTAAACTCTGTTAGTATACATGTAAACTACAATATAATATATCGGAGTGTAACTATTTCTATAAATTTCATTTACACTACTCACTAGTCTTTATAGACTACAACAGGTCTACAACTAATAATTACATGAGCAAAGTCTAAGATATAAAATATATAGGAGATTAACTAACATATTTCTTAATATAAACACACATGGCATGCCAATGGCTATCAAATAGTGTGGCCATTGATATTGTTCTGCATTTTTATAATGATACGTTTCATCAGCAAATATATGGTAATATATTCGAGACGCATGAACTGTGTAAAATTCGATATGTTATTTACATATTTAATATACTATTCATGAGACTGACCTGACACGGAGGTGATTCAAACCACGGCTCTTGATTCAAACCGTGTTTAACCGTGTTCAAACAGCGCTGTCTTCACAGTTCACATCGCGGGAAATGCAAATTATGCCAATAATCGCACACCAAAAGCTTTCGATCAGAATTCTGTCGCGCACCTTTTCGTTAAATGAAACACGTTTACATTCGTTCATTATACACAGAAGATCGTGGAGTCATGTAGAAGCCGCCATATCTTTCTCCTTGGAACGAGCGGCGATTAAAATTTACCGACTATTCGATTACGAGGAGCCGACACGACAATAACAAGCCAGCATCGCTCTGAAGTCGATGCGACTATTGCAAACAGTAGCATTTTGCCTCATTCTGATTGGCTTACTTCGTCTGACCGTAGCAAACCAATCAGCACGCCGTATTTGCGAATTTTTGCAACGGTCAGTTTCAATCTGACCACTGCAAAAATTTCCAAACACAGCGCTATGATTGGTTTGCTACGGTTAGACGAAGCAAGCCAATCACAATGAAGCAAATGCTACGACTTCAGAACGATGTGATATAGTACTAGTGCAAAACCCGCAAATACAGGCAGTATTTCGGGCGGAAATTTGAGAAAAACCCGAATTTAATTATCCAAAATGAAATAAAAACTCGATAAAATTGTATCAATATGATTTAGTAAATTTTAAAAAAATTGCACCAAGTTTCAATGAAAAATTGAAAATAACGGCAATTAAAAATAGTATAACGTTTTAGTTTTTAATAACTTTAAAAAAGGTACAACCTGGAAAAATATATCTCAGGGAAAATCTGACCGTAGCATATGCTACGGTTGCAACGGTCTGAATCCGCCCCTGGTTATTTAAAACTGCTGAAGTCTATCCTAAACGATTTCTGAAATATCGCAAACTACAAACGGAACAAACCTTGCATGTAAACAATGCTACTCCGGCTGTTATTAAATAAGCGCTGTGAAATTTCCAAATTCCAACTTGCCATTGACTTCGCTGAAACTTGATGCTCAAGAAATATGTAGAAGTATACCTCTCTGTTATCAAACCTACGGTAAAATAATCCGACAAAAGCCTACTGAAAGATAAGTCAAAGCATGAATGTTACAAAATACTGTATGTGTCACTATGTGACTGTATATTTGTAACTTATATGTTTGCCATTAGAAAATACAAATCACATCATGATAAATTTGACACTAGATTCACTACTTCCTGGTATGTATACATCATGGTATGTATTTAAGTGAAATCTCTCAAATGCTTTCTTTTATTTTTCCCTAGTAAATTAACAGACATTGCATTAAATTAACACTGTCCAAGTGGAAATTTCTCGCTTATTACTGTAAGAACATGGATCAACAAATTAGTGAAGCCCTGAATGTCAGAATTTAGCTATTTATGACAGGCTTGACAGCACTATTTCGTATTGAAGAATTACAATATTTATCTGTCTATAAGATTACAACGTCCAAATATTTGAGCTATATGGGGCTTGAAGTTGAACTGTTTCATCCACACTTGGTTATAATATTTATAAACCGATCTGCCGATATCAAAAACCCGGCCTTAACGCGCTCTAAGCTATGCATATTTGGGCATAGTTTGGGAAAGCCTCAGAAGAAAAAAAAAACACGCATTCCAAAGGGAGAAAGGTAAATATATGGAAATATTTTGCTTGGAACCCACGACTTTTTATTCGGGACCCACGATTTTTTACCCACGACCCACGCCTTTTTACCCACGACCCACGCCTTTTTACCCACGACCCACGCCTTTTTACCCACGACCCACGCCTTTTTACCCACGACC